AACAAAGAACAATAACACCTCGCGTTTGCTCAAAAAATACGAACAAAATCTTTCAGCAGACAAGGAAAAATAGAAGATTTACTAGTATCGCTCGAGTTGATGATAAACAAGGAAGAGAAGTGGTGCCAATTTTTGTGATCTATGAAATTTAAAGATTACTGAACAATTCACTTATAAAAGGTCTATGTGACCGAATTATCTCAAGTATTATAGGTCAAATGTGAAGGACAGACTTGAACTTTTCGAAAACTACATCACTTGTAAACAAAGCGAAAGAGCGGCCCATAATGTGTTAAGAAGTTTTCAGGCATATCTGGCTGAATTGATCATGCCAGCGAATAATGTGGAACTGCCTGTCTGTCTTAGCATTTACAACAATTCGAAAGGATTTCCCGATTTGTTCTTGTATGAAGCCTGTATTCGAAACGCATTAGGCAGCAACACCACATTCGGGAAGATTAAAATACTTCCGAAGGTACTCACTTTCTTGTTTGCGCCTTTCTCGATTTCCCATATTTAAGAAAGGCGAAAGAAGGCGAAAGGCGAAATCCGCCGAAACGTCAGCTTAATCGTGAACAAAGAATAGTAACACCTCGCGTTTGCTCAACAAAAATACGAAGAAAATCACTTGATCAATGCCGAGGTTAATAGAAAGTCGGTCGTGGCAGTTCCATATTTAAGAGCTTTTTATTGCACTAACACAATTAAGGACTTTCTTTCATACATGAAAAATTTGAGTGATGAAGTGCTCCTATGCATGCAACAAGATTATTGCACGCACCTACCACCGTTTTTGCTTCCAAGTATGTGTATATGTGCAGTTCCAATAATTCCAGCGTCAACATTGCTTTTTTATCTAACGACGGCAAATTTTTTCTAAACTGTTCTACTACATCTACCTTCAAACTTAGAAATGCGCTGTCATAGATAATCTGCAGGTTGGTAAGCAGTGCTTCACAGCTTTCGTAACTTAGCTATGAATATGCAACACATTTTAGATTACCACATTGTTCGTGAGCTGTCAGTCAACTAATCTCAAAATCTGTTGTTATTGCAGTGATAAGATTTCTTAAAGGAGTCTTAAAACATGCATATCTAGCCTTGACAATGACTCGCTGCGGCTTACCGATTTATCGAGCCAGTGCTAGTGTCCTCCTAAACAAGTCTGGTAGCAATTTACCGACCTCAGAGGGATGGAAGGCTTGGTGGGCCATGGACGCAAAAATCGATCCCACGGATGTGTTGCAGGGCGCCTCCGACCACTGCGCCGCAGGCGCCGCAATCTTTTGTAGAGAAGGAGAACTTCGTCGTAAGAAATTGATCAATAAGAGGCAGCTCTAGGAAACTTTTCAGATTTAAAAAAGACATATTTTGTTCTTAGGGTACAGGATGGGCTCGTGACAACTGGATGACGAACAGTAAATGGAATAAAGATCGTGACTTTATGATTCACAACTGGAAAAATGAACAGTTGAGAGCTTATTCCAAAATTCCACTTCCGTACGTTTTTTTAAATTTGTGTATGTTTTGCTTTGATATGATTCGGCACTAAAATTGTTAACCTAAAAAGACTACGAAACAAGTAGTATTCGGTAGCAGTTTGGAAAAGTAGGTAGAAGAAATTTTAGAGCTCACAGCATAAAAATCTAAACCTTCTTCAGACTGTCATCAGAATCGGGTTCGAAGTGGTACAATCCCACCGTTGGACCTGTTGAGCTCTCCCTTTGTACACCTGGGTAAGCAATACCAAATACAGTCAAAATAGTCATAATGCTTCCGAATGTAACTTGTAAAGTGAATTACAATTACCATATTTTTTGCTCAAAGGATTATAGTTATGTTAAGTTTTATTGCATAAAGAACTTTTAGCTATCGACTTAAATACGAGGTTTGTTCTCGAAAGTTATTTGTATTCATGAACCTCTATCATTCGGAGTTACGTAGGCTAACTATTACACAAGGTATTGAGTGCTCAGTGTTGATCAATCCTCGAAGGATGCGCCATTGATTCGACTTCATTAAACATCTCTACAGGTGATGAATGAGTGAGATTATTAAAATTTAGCCTATACAGTAAATTACGGCGGTCCACCAATGTGTGAAGTCAGTGTTCTTTCCTCTCAGACAAGCTTGACGCCAATTTGCCCAACCCATTAGGATCGAACGCTTGGTGATCTGAGGCGCTGGAACGAGTCTGAACACGCGTTCATTGGAAGGCACCTCTAATCACTACCCTACCAACTGTTTCTGAAAGGCAAGAAGATATTGCTGAAAAGACTGCTTTCGCGCTGAAAATCCGTCAAGAGAGTAGTCGATGTTGGTGTCAACTAAACAGCTGTTAACAGTTGGCTTGAGAAAAAGATCTACAATATTTAGACACAGACGCTGGGTAGCTTCGTATCCAATCTCTTGCTAACTGTGCCTGATTGGTGTCAAATTATGAGGATAAAAGCGCCAAACTGTACATACACGAGGAAACTTTCGGAGCACAAAAGCGGCCAATAACAACTACGAGGTGTTATGAATTCGAATGTTTGATGCATCTCCCAATGATTGATGAAAGCCGAGCGTACTATCCTTCTATTCCCTAGACTGGTTTTAATAATTTTAATATGTCAAAAGAAAAACCACGTTTGTTTTATGATCTGTACCACGTCCCTCGTATGTGCATATTTCAGGAACACATCATGGAGATATGACCCAAACTTGATCGCTACCCGTAGGGAAATAGACAATCGACTACTGGAGTTCGCTAGAGGTTTGAGATCAAAAGGAAGGAAGCAAACTATAAACTAAAGTGTCATTTTAACAATGCTGATTAAAATTTTGAAGGCCAACAACTTATTCCAACTTGGAAGACGACGACTTGGAAAACGTCAGATGACATCTATTTTCCAGGATTTAGCTGATCGCTCTTTGCTTCAAGGCAAGGGAAACACAAAGTTTCCAGCGAAGTATTGCTACAATCTACAAGTTCACGCCGAAAAACATGTCATTGCCACAAAAATACACGAAAGAATCGGTATCTGACAACACTAGACCACTTTTTATTTATTCTTTAACTAAACAGTTAAAAAATACTTAATTTTTTTGCAAAGAACCAGCTGGATACCTGGATGCCCAAGTGGAACGTCGCAGGCATACGCATTGGTGGTAGATTCCTAGCGTGCACTGCACTTGCTTCGCCGGCGACATCATCTTATGAAGAAGTACTGACGAAGCATAGACGCTGTTAAATGAGCTTAATGAATCAAGAGAAAAGTTTGGGCTGCCCAAAAATAGGAATAAGGCTCGGTTCATAAAGAGCCCATTAGAAGAAGGCGTGTAAATCAAACAAACTGGTTTTCCAACTACAGAGAACTACCATTTCGTAAGTGTACCGTGGATATTTGGACATTCGACGAACATGGAGAACAACATTAAGGAGCAACTAGACAGAAGAAAGGAACAGCGTGAGCCGCATTCAGGCGTCGCAGACACCTGCGGTCCGGAGTTCTACAATTATCTCAACATCATTAAAGTTATCTGTATACATGTTCTTACGAACTGCCGCTTTTTAGCCAATGTGAGGTTGGTATCGATGTTCGGATTGTTGTTGGTCTCTTTGTTCAATAATGGTTTGATTGGAAATAGCTAGTGAATACCGACTCACTCCGGTAGAATCGCTCCCTTTATGTCGTAGTCGACATGTAGAAAGCTCCTGTGGTGAGAGATTGTTGCTGTTGAAGAAAGCTTCCAGCATAGAGTCTTTGTCCGGAAAAGAGGTACAAAAGTTAGGTCAAAAATTTTTTTGAATACTGAAATTCAACAACGAGGAGAGAAATATTCTGGCAATGCCTAGATGATAAATCACTTAAACGTCTTCTTCCGAGTGGCTCGAATATCGACGCTCTATGCGCTTATCAAAGGGATTAAACACATTTGGTCTTTCGAAGTAGTTATCAAGCATTATCACTCTCATATTTTACATTTATTTTTACGATCTACGGAATTTTTACAGAGATATAGTAAGTACATATATATCATACATATAAATTAACAGTAATAAACCAATACCAACAACGACTTACAATTCTTTCCTACAATCATGTTCCGCTGGGCTCATTCTTAGTTTACTCATACTACCAGAAAGCGCTTCACATAGGACGATTGTGCCGCAGTGGTCGGAGGCGCCCTGCAATACACATGGGGTCGATTCCCGCGCCCATGGCCCCCAAACCTTCCATCCCTCCTGAGTCGGTAAACTGGTAAAGAACTTGTTTGGTCTGAGAGGATAGCAGCACTGACTCTATACATCGGTAGGCCACCGCGAGTTATTGTAAAGGCCAGATATGCATTCAATCGCCTCCAAACGAGCTTAATGATGTCGAGTGTGTGGTGCACCCTATGAAATTGATCAACGCCGAGAGCTTCATCCTTATTTTACCAGAAAGTGCTTCACATATGACTTTAAAATCTTATGTCAAAGATCTCCATATAAAACCAGGAATCGTTGCCTACAATAAATAATGTTCGAGCATATCGAACGGGTGATGTACACATTACCTGATGTCGATGAAAACACTAAAAAATTGAGCTTACTACAATGACTCCATCTGGTGGAACCTGTCAAGCACGTCCAGCAGCGGGATTCCCACCGTATTGCCATGCAAGTGATCACAAATTACCTGCATTTTTTTGGGATCCTGGTGTCTCTTTTTTTAACAAAATGACCAATTACTCTCTTTCAGGCTCTCTTGCAGCCATTGTAAAGCAAGTAGATGCTGATCCAGAGATTAATAAACGAGGTTGTGCTCACTACAAGTGTTCCAAGGGTTTACCAAACCCAGACGTCCAGGCAGAAGAGAAGCATTGTGTTAGAGCAGCCAATGGTTGTTTGCTTCCATTACCGCCTCTTGACTATTGCTCTCGATAACCAACAGTTTTTACGAGTCTTAGAAAAAAAATTCCGTCTCAATACAGTATAAGTGTCTATGATACCTTTCATATTAATGCTATTACAGCGCTGTTATTCTATTATCTATTGACCTGTCTTTAGCCTCAACTGGATGAATTGCTGGGAAGTCCCTTCCTGTTTTCCTTACAGATGTCGATACAATGCGTCGCTCCATGCGGTACCGAAGCAAAAGCATAGTGGTTAATTACCCCTCCTCTCACCACTCGCATGCCAACAGGGAGTTTGTAAGAAATATATTCCGAACAGCAATCAGTTGTGTGCACAGGAAGAGAGTAGAAGGAAGAATCCTGGAAAATGGCGCGAGATAATAACGTTTTCAAAAGGCTGCAAAACCATAACTCGTCGGTCTAGGGGCACAGGAAAAATCACACCCCTATACGATAATTTTAGCGAGAATAAGATTTCGTTTTTCCTGCTCTTTATCTCTAACGACATAGGTGTAGCTGTTAAAACGTTGTTTAAGATGAGCCGATTTTGAGAAATCGGTAACAGTGATAGAAATGCAGACCGACGCTCTAAGATCCCACGTAGAACTGTGACCTTCTACGTACAATGGAAAATTGCATGACATGCCACTTTGGTACAAACTGTGATAGATCTGATAGATAGAATGATAGAATGAGTTCGAGTGCGGTGTACCAAACCTCTTGTGAAGCTTTTGGTAATGAATACATTGACGATCCGGATAGATCACTCTGGTTCCGTTTAAAATAACGTCTAGTAAATTTAAAGCGAAACCAAACATTCCACTAGGAATGCACGGGACACATAACCATAAGGGAGAAGATTTGGAAGTAAAATTTACTATCCTTGGACAGGAATTCAGAACACTAGCGCGCAGAACCCTTGAAGGGTTTTGAATTAATTCCACAAATCCAAGATTGAGCCGAGCCGTACTAGAACTTTGTGAATTTATTACTTTTACACGTAGCAGCCTATTCAGCCTGACCACTCACCAAATCCATGAAAACGCAGGACATTCTTTGGAAATAACATGTCACCTAAGTAAAATTTTGGCCTGTTTTATTACTGCGCAGGAGAAAAGAAATGCTAGTTAATCTACGGCAGATCATTTTACATTGTCACTTCGGTGTGCTGCATGAGATCCCATTTTTTAATACTAAGGCTACTTTCTTTCATTCACGCATTGGTTATTTTATCGTCTGTCTCTCACTAATTGGGTTAGCCGCGAGACTATGTAGTGCTTTTCCAGACAACGGGTAGAAGGTAAGATACATTTCAAAAGCGACTTTGTAAGACGCAGCCAAATCTCCATGAGATGTGAACTTCCCAGTTTGGTGCATCGATTAGGTATTTATCTTTCCACGTTACACGGGCATGTTCATTTATACGTGCGTTGATTTGATCCTATATACTCAAACTGTTTATGTACGTCAGTTCAAACAAAATGCTGAAATCAATTTATAGGAGGCGCCTTTTACAAACGAGCTCTACGTTTATTCTTGGAAAACCTGGAAATCTATCCGTGTTTGTATCACAGCTTCTACCTTCACAGCTTAGCACTAAAACAAGTGGGCCTCACTAACCTGATCCGGATAGATCCTGCGATACGGCAGCGCTGGATAAAACGAGTGCGGAAAGGCTTCTAAAATCTCAAAGCCATTCAAAGCTATCTAAATCTCGAGCGATTAAGGAAGGAGATATGTAGCAATTTACGCTCCCTTCTATCTGAGTCTTCTGTAGAAGTCCTGACCAAGCCAGGGTAGAAGAATAAGGTCCGACGTCATCGGACTGATGGAGATGAGAAGGCGCCCGTACATTC